AGCCCGACTGTGGGGTAGTTAAATACAGCATAATGGTTATGTTTTTCATCTTAGTCCAAGGAAGAGAAAGGTGTTGGCTCACGCCATCCTTGTATCTTTATTATTATAATTAGGTACAGATTCTCTGAACAAAGTAAACATTGATTCACAGCTAAAATTAGATTGAAATACTTATGTACTTGATTGATTATAGATAGGCAAATAGATAGATAGTGTCAGAGCTGAGAGAGAGAACCCCAAAGTGAAAGCAGGTAATAATGTCTTTTATAGAAATTAGGCAATTGGCAGCATAGGCTGGCAAACGGACATTCTCTTAATAGTACTGAATATAAGCAGGAGATGGCTCGAGACCAGGAAATACAGGTCCGTAGAAGAGAACAGCGAAGGCTAACAGCGGTGGCCATAGACAGGTGTACTCACGGGACCAATCTCAGCGTTCAGTAGCAGGAGAGATGGGCAGAGCACAAGTTAGCACAAACACACAAATGAATGTAGACGAGTAGGCAATGAAGACCAGATGGGGCAAGACAAGACTCGGAGACAGCTAACATCACTATCACGTACAAAGTTAACAATATGACAGAGGACAAAGGAGAGAAGGGAACTACAAATAGAGAGAAAGAGAGTTGTGGAAACTGTAATGTCTGTTGATATTCCTTACAGGCATTTAGAATACTTAGAAGACAACGACAACGCGTGAGTTCTCTCTGTGTCCAGTTTATTCACAAGTTAGCTTAACAACAACAACGGACCAACCACCTCCCGTATATCTCTTCTTCGGCCCTCCATGATCCCTGCTAGAACACTGACACCTCTAGGTCACTCCCTGTCATTACATCTCCCCCCTCAAAGATATTGCCCTTCTTAGTTAACATTAACTGTTATTATAAGCAATAAACACTTTCAGTATATTAACAATGTTCCTTATAAGACTCAACTGTCTTGTTAACTTCTAACCCCAATGAAGGCTAATGAACATAACCATTTTTTTTCACTTTTTTTTTCTTCCAAACAATAAAGTGCATTTCCTGAAACATACTGTAAATCCACAACAATTCGACCATTTTTTTTTTCAGGTCTATACAATCAAGAGTCCATAATCACCAGTCCAGTTTGTCTGGGGCTTTGCTCACTCTGCCTGAGCGAGTAATGGTTACAGTCCCTTGTGTGGGTGTGGAAGTGTTTTGTGTCTCAGTACCGTGCGTGTCCTCAGTTTTCCTGACCTCAGGGGCAACTTGGTCAGGGCTTTCACTGACGGTTGTGATCGGTTTGGGTGTGGATTGCAGGTGTCGTCGGTTCCTCCTGTAGCGCTGTCCCTGTGCTGTCTCCACGATATAGGACCTTGGAGTAGAGCTGGAACTGTGAACGACAGCAGGCATTGTCCACTGTTTTTGTCCATCCAACTTTGTTAGCACCGGGTCCCCTAGGCTCAGTGGGGGTAGAACCCTTACTCCATTCCTGCGGTTATAGTAATACGCTTGCTTTTGCTTGGCTGCAGCGTCAGCCTGTCTGATCACCTCTTCATTCGGCCAGTTTGGTTTCAGATTGTCCTGCAAGGTGGGCAAGGTGGGCCTGATTTTCCTGCCCATCAGCAGTTCTGCTGGACTGACTCCTGTCGAAGAGGTGGGTGTGGCTCGGTATGCCATCAGGGCAAGGAGGGGGTCCTTCTGTCTCAGTATAGATTTCGCTACCTGAACGGCCCGCTCTGCCTGTCCGTAACTTTGAGGGTAGTGAGGGCTGGATGTAATGTGAACAAAATCATATTCCTCACTAAACTCCCTCATCTCTTCTGAAGATAGCTGGGGCCCATTGTCGCTCACCATTACTTCAGGGATGCCAAAACGTGCGAATGTGGCTTTCAGCTTAGCTACAACCTGGCTGGTGGTAGTTGTAGGCAGATTCAAAATCTCCAGATATCTAGAGTAATAATCTGATACTATTAAGTAGTTTTGCTTCTTAAACTCGCACAGATCTACCCCAACTTTCTGCCATGGCCTAGATGGGAGTTCGCTGGGCATTAACGGCTCCTTATTCTGTGTGTTTCTGTTCTCTCTACAAAACGCACACTCCTGTACAGTTTTTTCAATCTCCCCAGACATTCCAGGCCACCATACGGATTGGTGAGCTCTTTCTCTGCACTTTACCAGGCCTTGATGTCCGTCATGGATTCTCTCCAGGATGGCCTTCCTTTTTTCTGTGGGAATGACAATGCGGTTGCCTCTAATGACCAAACCATCTATCTCAGATAGTTCTCCTCTCATTTGGTAGAAGTCTTTGACTACCTCAGGCACCTTTCCTATATAATCAGGCCACCCATTCCTGATGAAGCCTATGACTGTCTGGAGCTGTCTATCATATTCTGTGTACTGTCTAAGCTCCGCCATCCGGTGTGGTGTGGCCGGGACCTGGCTCATGACAGCCTCGATATGTGCGGCCACCTCCTCGTGACAGACCCCATCCCCCAAACATTGCTCTGGGCTTCTAGAGAGCGCATCTGCCACCGCTAATGTTTTGCCTGGTGCATGCTCAGCCGTGGAATTGAAACGCATTAGTCTCATCAATAGCCTCTGGCACCTAATTGGGACACAGTCTAAGTCTTTACTGTTCATGAGAGGCACCAACGCCTTGTGATCAGTAACCAGTCTAAAGCCGTCCAGTCCATATAGGTATTTGTCAAACTGTTCACAGGACCACACACTTGCTAAGCACTCCTTCTCTATTTGCGCGTATCTTTTCTCCGCGTCACTTAACCGTCTGGAACAGTAGGCCACAGGCTTCCAGTGATCCCCGTGCTGCTGGAGTAGAACGCCGCCCAGCCCATAGCTGCTGGCATCTGCTGACACTATGGTGAGCTTGTTGGCATCGTAGAAGGTAAGTACTGGAGCTGTGGCTAATGCAGTCTTTAAGCTCCTGAACGCCTCACACTGTGCAGGTCCCCACATCCACTCTTTGTCTCCTTTCAGTAACTCGTACAGTGGGTGGGCAACTGTTGATAGCTCTGGAATGAACTTGGCTAGATAATTAACCATCCCCAAGAACCTTTTGAGTTCTGTGACGTTTTGTGGCTGTGGAAAGTTCCGTATTCCTGTGACCTTGTTGGGGTCGGCTCTGACGCCTGCCTCGTCGATTAGGTGACCCAGGAAACGAACCTGCCTCTGTCTGAACTTGCACTTTGCCTGGTTCAACTTGAGCCCTGCTGCTTCAATGACCCTCAACACCTCAGCCAGGCGTCGGTCATGTTGCTCCTCTGTCTCTGTGTGAATTAAAATGTCATCCATAAAGATCTCAGTCCCTTCTAAGCCGGTCAGAGTCTCCGCCATTTTCCTCTGGAAAATTTCAGGAGCAATTGTTATCCCGAAAGGGAGACGGCGGAAGGCGTATCTCCCAAATGGAGTGATGAAAGTGGTGAGCAACCTGCTCTCCTCATGCAGGGGGATCTGATAAAATCCACTTGCTGCATCCAGCGAGGTGAATACTTTTGACCCGGCGAGCTTTGGCATTATTTCCTCCACCGTTGGCAGAACATACTTCTCCCGTTTCACTGCTTTGTTCAGTTTCCTGAGGTCTGCACAAAGGCGGACTTCCCTTTTGTTGGGTTTGAGTACCGGCACCATCGCGGCACACCATTCTGTTGGCTGTGTTACCTTTTTGATTATGCCCTCCTCCTCCATGCGATGCAGTTCCTTTTTTACCAGCGGTACCAGTGGCAGGGGTATCCGCCTGGCTGTCGGCACTGCGTATGGTTGGACATCATCGAGCAGGGCTATTCTGACCGGCTCAGTTTTCAATAACCCGCTAGATCCAAACATGCTACTGACCTCATTCATCCTCTTGACTAGACCCATTTCCACTGCTTCCTCACGGCCCAGTAAGCAGCTTTTTCCTTCAGTCACATACACTTTCAGAGGGTACTTCCTCCCTTTATAGCTTGTGAAACTCTGGAACATGCCCATGCAACTGAGATCGCCCCCTGGGCTAACAAAACGAGTGAAAGGTGGCACGAGCTTTTTTTTAGGACTCATCTTTTTGAATGTCCCCTCATCAATAATGGTAGCGTCCGCTCCTGTGTCAATTTTAAAGGTTACACCCACATTGTTTACAGGTAAGCAAACAGTCCATGTATTCTCATTATCCTCCCTGTCAACTGCTCCTAGGAAGTATGTTAGTCCAGGTTGTTCGCTTGTGACTTCTCTCACTGCTTTAGAACGACATTTACGTTCCCAATGTCCTTCCTTGTGACATTTATTACACTTGCTTTTCAACGCAGGACAATTTCTTTCATTAGAGTGTTGTGGCTTACCGCACCTCCCACACTCATCCTTTGTGTTGGTTGCCTGGCTGCTATTCCCACGTCGCTGACTCTTTTTCTTATATTGCCAATCCTTCCCTTTGACCGCATTAACGTTGGCCAGCTGAGCTTCCGGTCGACTGGTCTGAAGATTAACCTGCCGCGTTATCGCCTCTGTCTGGCGCACACGTTCAATCACGTGCGTCAACGTTAGATCTGCTTTGAGCTGAAACTGGCGGGAAAGTTCTTTGTCTGCTATTCCTACCACAAGACGATCCCTTATATGTTCATCCCTTGTAGTCCCGAATTGGCAGTGCTCTGCTAACTCATATAATGTTCTGATGTACATCTCCGCCGTTTCCCCGGATTGCTGGCTCCGTTGATAGAAACATGCACGCTCGTGTATGATGTTGCGTCGTGGAATAAAGTAGTCGTCAAACTTTTTCATGACCACTTCAAAGTCTTTCTTTTCATCTTCCTCGTCAAACTCGAATGAACTGAATATCTTTTCAGCTTCACTGCCCATTGCGTAGATCAGCGAACTTACTTGAATCTCGCCGTCATCTTTGTTTAGCTTCGTGGCCAACCGATAGCGGCGAAATCGCTGTTTCCACTCCGGCCATTCGGTTGGGCTCTCAAACTTAAACTCGCTCGGCGGGCTAAACTTCGCCATGTCTTCTTACTGACACACAGGCTATTCTGACACCATGTAATGTCTGTTGATATTCCTTACAGGCATTTAGGATACTTAGAAGACAACGACAACGCGTGAGTTCTCTCTGTGTCCAGTTTATTCACAGGTTAGCTTAACAACAACAACGGACCAAACACTTCCCGTATATATCTCTTCTTCGGCCCTCTATGATCCCCGCTAGAACACTGACACCTCTAGGTCACTCCCTGTCATTACACACTTCTTTAGAGATATAATGTTCTGAACAACAACAACAAATGAAATAAAAAGAAAAGAAAAACAATGTAACCAAAAAGTTTGTTATATTAAATATTAAATTGCATACATGTCAGTTTTAAATCAAATAAATGCAGCCTTGGTTGGGTATCGTTTGAATTTGAACGTTTCTGATTCCGATTCCTTGTTTCGATTCCGGTTCCTAACGATTCTCGATTCCGATTCTTTTAAGAGGCAGGGTCAAAAAAGTTTAGCTAACCTTGCTAACCAACGGCCTTTCTGAAGGAAATAATCCTTTCTGAAGGAAATACTCCTTCTGTAAAAATACTCCTTTTGTCACAAATTTTGCATTTTGCCGAGATTTCGTTATTTTTAGAAAAGTGAAGCCACACTTTGGATCGCCGACTTAAGGTACTCATGTTCGCCTCGCGTGGTTATGCCAACACTTCCAGTAGACGCTTCTTCGTTGGGGTTGTTCAGCGGTTTCTTCTTCCGCTCGGCGGACTGTGAATATCGAAACTAGGAACCGAAATTTTAACTTTTTAACGATTCCGGGAAAAACTAAAAGTTAGTCCCGGTTCCAATCGATACTCGATTCTCGATACCCAACCCTACTTGGTGAGCAGAAGAGACTTCTTGTAAAAACATTTAAAAAAAAACATTTTACAGATCCAAATCTTTTGAACTGGAGTGTTTATTTGAAACCTCAATTAAAAAAGGGTGGCAGAAGCCCAGGCGGAGCCGAGGAGCAGGAGACCGATGGGAGGCAGAACCGCAGGACAGAGGTGGAAAAGGGGATTCGGCAGTTGGACTCGGCAGTCAGACCCGGAGGGAGCGAGGACAACGGTGGAGCTGGAGAGAAGGAAGAGCCCAGTGAAGCCAAAGAGGTGGAGGCATAATTGGAGGACTCGAAATCTGTGGCACAATCAGGATGATGACTGACCCAGGGAGCCCAGCAGAGCTTGAGGGATGATTGGCCATGGTGGAGCCAAGTCGTAGCTGATGTGTTGACAGGCCGAGGTTGGGCAGAGCTGGTGAATTAGAAGCCCAAGGCATATCTGAGCTGCTAGGTGGAAGGGCAAAAGGGAGCCAGCAGAGACAAGGCAAAATAACTGGATGGTATTGGCAAAGGAGGTGGGATTGGGAGGCTGGGTGGGTCATCAGCAATGATACACATCTGGTGCTGGTTGACAAAACAGACTTGGTGCTGGGGGATGAAACATACTTGGTGCTAGACGATCTAACAGACCTGGACCTGGGCGCCAAAAGAGATTTGGAATTGGATGACAAAAGAAATCTGAAACTGATCTACTTCAATTATTGCACTAGGAGTCAAGTTCAGCACACCCAGCTTGGGTGTATTGGGTGTATTCAGCCTGGGGGTATTGGCGGTGCTCTACTCTGTTCCCTCTTACTCCAATAATATATCCACTGGAACGGACACAGAAACAGGCACACACAAATCTAGTCAGACTGGTAGGCAGGCTTTGTCTCCGGGACGACTGTAGCTGCAAGCTCTGGCTCTGTTGTGGGGATAGGCTATGGCATAGAATCCATGTCTAGCTCTGGGTCTGTGGTGGGCTCTGGCTCAATTTCTGCAGTGGGCTTGCTGAATGGCAGGGTGGGATGGGCGGCAGTATGGGCTGGACTGCAGGTGGGCAAACCCTCTCTTGCTGATAGTGAAGGGGGATCCATATTCTCTCTAAGTCTTTATTTATTCACAAACTCAAAAATAACAGATACTCAGGGTTCTCCCATATCAAAAAGCATGAACAGATCAACCAGCTAAATGTGACGAAGGTGAAACAAAGACTAAAAGAAAACAGGCTAAATTATTACTAACACAAAACTATTAAAGCAATGAGAGACAGGTGCAGTGCATTAATAAGACAATGAGTAACCATGGCAATAAATGCTAACAAAAGTAACAGAACAGGGAACAGTGTAAAATAGGGATGTCCCGATCCGATACTCAGGTTCGGTATCGGCTCCGATCCAGCCATTTTTGCGGGATCGGGTATCGATCAGACGAGGCCGATCCAAATCCGATATTGTGCGTATACTATTATGTTATTGTTAAGCCCCACAGAAGGCACAAAACATTCTAAAGTACCATGACGTTTTCGTGCACTCTATTATAAGTGTTCTGAAGCCATTATGTCAGAGAGAAATTAATATACAAGTCATTAAATTCAGGATCATGTAAACGTTTTCCTCTCGCGGCTGTCAGTCATTCTCCATTCAGCACTCAAACAGCGTGTCGCGTTCGGTTACAGTAAATGATGAAACTATCTTCAAGATGATTCAATGTTTATACTATTATAATTTATCTGTAGATAAAGGTCTATATTTTCGCATAAAACAACATTATCTTGCTGGACTTTATTGCTGTAACTTAATCGTGTTACTTTCTACCAGGTGTCGGACGCTGTCGGTTAGGTCACAACACTAGAAGTCAGAGCACTATTGTTCTTCACGCGCACAGTAACTGAAATTTAAAACTGTTTAAAGAAAAGGCTCAATAAACTATTGCATAGATAGATACTGTTTAATACACTGTCCATCAATATGTATTTCCTTTATGCTTTGAACTTTTCAAAGCGGACTCGACACGCAGCGTGCAGTCACATCATAATGCAGTGACGCAATTAAAGCTTATTAACATTAATAATTATTAATGTTGCTGCCTCATTAAATAGCTGTGCTATACACTTAAAACATGTCTCAATTTTTTAGTAGTCTTTGGCTATATCTAAAATAATTATCTTTTTAATTTTTGTTATATTGTTTTTCATGAATGTATTTTACAACAATACAAAGAGCAATATTTATTATTCACTAATCTAGTTTATAATAGCATTTTTTGTCATTGATTATGATCATATATTTTGGGGATTTGTTGTTTATCTTTATTATGAAGCTGTCTGTAGATTGTGTTTAACACACACCAGAGTGATAATGAGTTTAACACACAATTATAGAAATTCTACTTGCTTTAAAAAAAACTGTACTGGTATTTACAATGTAGAATGCTGCTGTTTAAATTGTTTTAACTTTAAACCTGTTGGTAGCTATAGCTAGCTTTAAGTACTGAAGTACCTGCATTTTCTATATATATATATATATATATATACACTGTAGGTATATTTTAAGGGGCTAATTGAGAAAATTGCTATATTTTTTATTAGTTTAAAAATAAAATAAAAATATCGGATTAATATCGGTATCGGCAAAACCAAAGCTGCGGCGGTATCGGTATCGGAAGTGAAAAAGTGGTATCGGGACATCCCTAGTGTAAAACCAACATCAAAACTGTGTTCTTTGTATACAAATCAACGTTGTTTAGATTTAAAATCACCCAGCTATGCAAGTTGAGGATCTTTTACCACAACAATTTTCTGTTCAACAAAATGATAACAGATTACAACCCATTTCAATAGGATTAAAATGTCAATCTGCTCAAGCTAGATTGATTGAAGTGTCTTCAGTTCGAGAGAGCCATCAATCCGATTATAAAGGAATTATTGGGTTGCATGTGAACTTTTCTGATGTTCATCTAGATGTGGGGGAAAAAAATCCATTAAAAGAAGTGATCAGACTGAACTCTGGATCATAGAGGATCTTTTTTTTTTTTTTTTTTTTTTTGACGAAAGCATGCAGCCATTCAGTAACACCCTAACATCTGTGGTCAATTATTGTATCCCTTAAAACTCATATCTGATTACCCAAATTATACATCATCCTAAAATACAAATTGAAAATTATTCCTAATGTAATTCCATCACCATTTCGAAATTCCTCCTCCTCCAGTAACAACTCTCTTCTTTTTTCTTTACAATTCTTTAAAATTCTTCTTTTCTTGCCAATAAGCATTTTGCTGGCTGTCAGAATGCTCTTAGCACTTCAAGTTAAATGGTCCACATAGAGGAGATGTGTGGATGCTGGCTTTATTGTTGTCGATAAGTACCTGTAAAGTCCCAGTCTGGGGCCTAAATGTCACCCATCATAGTTTTTATATCACATGAGTAGTGGACAGAAGAAAGACTTGTGCTTCTACAATACCACCAATCATAAACGAAATTATAACATCTGTTTTCCCCATCATTATTTGTGTGCTTATTCTAACTTCTCCACCTTCTTGCATAGGCTTGCAAACACAGAAGTTGATTCATACAAAACATATTATGACTCCCAAAGGTGTTCTTACATGTTTCATTCAGCAAATTTTCACAGGCGGAATCCAGTTATTCCAAAAATAATTCATATGATTGGGAATATCATCGTGAGGACTAAATATTGCCCCTCAGATTTTGCATTGTACAAGTTGGTAATGCAAATTTGCCATATTAACAAACAGAAAGCACTTAGTTTTGAAAATTACTTCTCTGTAAGTTGTGTGCATCATACATCACATTAGTAATGGACAATGGAACTTTTTTTTGCTCTGCAAATTTTTCTTAAATGGGCAAAGTGCGCAAGATGGGGCATGTGAACTTTGGCAATACGAGTATATACATGTTTACTTCAGCTCATATGTCTTATCGACATTTGCATTTACTGTAAGGAGAAACTTATGAAACTTGGCTAGATATAATAAGTATATTATATATATATATATATATATATATAAAGAGAAGATGGTAGTCTATCAGGCATGAAATAAAACATCCTACTTGCGTATATTATCTTGTATCTCTGTGCGGTAATTAATTAAACTACGCAGAGATTATCTTTAATTCTTTCTCCTGTTGAGTCTGCGGTCCAGGCTCAATGGTTAGTGTAAATCTCCAGGGATCTCTTCATTTATACAGAACACTCATGTCTTGATTTTGTTCTAACTGCTGGGGGATTAAATGGCTCTTAACTGCCTTCTCCTTCTGGAACAACACTGTCCTCACCAAGATCTAATTGTCCACCATAGTATTAACCCTTTCACACAAGGTTAAAATATTTGAACTGACCCCCCAGCGTGAGTTTTTAAGGCGACTGTTATTTTAGAATGTATCACCTTATTATTTCCATGGCGACACGTCATGCTTGTCACGTGACACAGCCACAATAGCGCTGTATGACAGATGTATCATTGTAGACTTGAAATTAAGCCTTGACATGTGATCCTCACACATGCTATCTATAATATACATTCAAACACATGTATTTAAAACTCCATAAGATAAAACAACTGAATACAATTTGAATATTAATAAAGAATAATAATATAGATACATAAAATTAAATAATTAAATTATATTAAAAGATGAAAATGTAGCTTTTATTTCTAGTGTTTCGCCTTTTTTATTCAAAATATTGACAAACTTGTTGGCTATGTCATCTACTATCTGATATTCTGATTCTCAAATACTTATAAGTTAAAGTGTTTTGTTTTTTTAAAACCTCTTAAATAATCATGTTGGTTGATTTATAATGTGCGATGGGCGTCGCCATGTTCCACGTTCTGCACCGCGTTTCTGACAATCGGATCTGTTGGGTTTACAACACGTAAATTCATCATCTTCTCCCAAAATACTGGAAAGGAAGTCGCAGGTGGGAGAACAATATGTTATAAATACCTAATGTGTATCTGATATGAATAAAACACCTCGCCAATTTATAATCGCAATAATTTTTATTGCTTCCATATACTGTACAGCACATCAGTAAATTTATTGTTTTGCTGGTACTTTTGTGTATTTAAATGTCTGAAACCTAAAATAAACATTATGGGGTTAAACACTGAGTAGTTATTATATGACAAGCGCTGAACACATCCGTCTCTGGCTCAGCCTCAGCCAAAGCACAAAAGCACATTTGAATTTAGCAGTTGATCACTGAACATCACTGAACATTCTAATTACAATGGTTGCATGTGTGTAAACTATTTAAGTCT